GGGCCTCCTCGGTGCTTCCCATGTGCCCCGCTTTGCTGTGGCACTGGCCGGGTGAAGCATCCCACTTTGCGGCGTGTCGCAGCCACAGAGGGGCAAAGACAACCGCAGAGGACAGGCAGGGCTGGTAGGGGAGCTTCTGCCTCAAGACACCCAGCTGCAGCCAGGAGGTGGAGGAACTGGGGCTGAGGAAGAGCATGCTGGTGTGGAGGGTGCTGGCTAGGGCCTCCGAGGCAGTGTGTGCCAGGGAGAGAGCGTTGCAGGGGTCTTGAGATGGATCCGTGGGGAGTATGCAGGGTGGGAGCTCGCCCTCTGCGCATGGCGCAAAGCGGGGCGCTTTGCTCAATGCCAGCTGACAAGTTACTGCACCAGTTCCTCTAGCAAACTGCCTGCGGCTTCTTCGCAAGGGGAACGGCCTCCCTGCGGCAGCTGCCTGCTGTGACGAGCGGGAAGGCTGCGAAAATGGTCCCTGCCACACGCCAGGGCTGCCCCTGGGATGAGCAAGGCCTGCACAGATGGCACGGGCCGGCGTCGCTCCGCTTGGTTGCCTGGCAGTCCCTGTACCCTCTGTGCTCCACTCGCCCCAGGACAGCTGGGGATGCTCCTGAAGAGTTGCCTGGCCTCGGTAGGGTGCTTGAGCACCAGAAGGTGGTGGCACAGTTTGTGGAGGAGCAAGGCTCAATCGTGCGCCCGCGGGTAGCGGGCACATTGCGGCTGTCCCTCTCCTGGGCCGTGTGAGCTCTGTTCACTGGCAGCCGGTCGCTCTGCCAGTGCCGGGAGGTGAGAGCTGCCGGGCAGGCCGGTGCAGCAAGCATGGCACAGCTCCCCGTGCCCTATCCTGCCCCTGCCACGGCCTTTCCTTGGCTGGGAGGGCCACGGGCACTGGCAAGTGCCGCTGTAGTGCTCTTATTTGACCTTGGACCCGCCACTAATTCTTCCAGACCCGTCCAGGACCGCTGTAAGCTGGTGGAAAGCAGGCGCTGAGTGCCTGTTCTGAGCCCAGTGGTGCAGACAGGACTTGCTGGGCAGCACTTGCCAGGCAGGGTCAAGCTGATGTGAGCCTGCACACTACTGAGATGTCGCCTGCTTCGTCTTCCATCAGTGAGAAGAATGGGCTCCGTGTCGGAGGAGCTCAGCCTGGTCCCCCTGCACCAGAGGCCGGAGCTGATGGAGGCCTGTGCCCAGCTGCTCGGTGAGGAGTGGGGCAAGAGCCGGGCGTCCCGGCTCCACTCACTGCAGCGCTCCTCAGACGCCTTCCCCACCTGCCTGCTGCTGCTGCAGAGCTCGGGCCCTGCTCAGCTCCCCGCTTCGGAGAAGAGCCCATGCCAGCTCCTGGGCCACATCCGGCTGTCCCGTGTGGCTGGTCACCCCTGTAGCCTCTTCGTGGAGAGTGTGGTGGTGCCCAAGGCGCTGCGGGGCCAGGGCTACGGGAGAAAGCTGATGGAGGCCGCGGAGCGGTACGCCCGGGCCCGTGGCTTTCGCCGCCTGCACCTCACTACCCACGACAAACAGCACTTTTATGCTCACCTGGGCTACACACTTGCCGAGCCGGTGCAGGTCATGCCTTTCATGAGTCCCGGCATCTCTGCCGAGGTGCTGCGGGTCTTCTCTGCCCACCCCAGGCCAGCTGTGAGCACCCCGGGCACCTTGGTGCCAGGCACCAACAAGCGCTCCCTGCCATCCCCTGATGTGCCCCCGCCGCCTCCACTGCCTCCCCAGGGCTGCTCGAGGGCTGCCCCAGCCACGACCTGCGGGCAGAGCATCCTGGAAACCCCCCACCGTGATGCTAAGGGTGTGCCCATCTTCTGGATGAAGAAGGATGTTTGAGGCCCCAGCACCCCGATATGGTCATTAAAGGCAAGTGCGGGCAGAGGATGCCCATTCTGGCCCGATCGGCTGCTGTTGTTTGAGGCTGCTTCCTGCACCCCAAACCTGAGGTTGCCTCTGGTTCCATTGTAGCCATGGAGTGGTTGAGGGTTGCTAAGAAAGCGGCAGGATTAGGAGCTGGTGCCCCCCGTGTCTGGCCTCTTGCCAATGGAAAAGTGGCCTTGGTGCCCAGCAGGTGCTCAGCCCTCCCAGGCCGGACAGGCCAGCTCTGCTGTGGGCTCGGGCTTTGCCCGCAGTGGGGTGCCACCAAGCCAGGTCCTCTGTGGGTCCTGCAGTCCGGAAAGGTGTCCCGGGAGCTGTGCCCTGTGCCACAAGCATCTCGGCCATCTGCATTTCCAGTGCAAGGGTCAGCCCAGCTCGAGGGCAGCAGGAAGCAAGGCCTGAGTGGTGCAGGGTGCCGGATCCATGTGTCTTGTTGGGGACGAGCTGCCCGGCAGAGGCCGTGTGCCCTGCAGGCCACTGCCAAGGGGGGCGCCCCCGGGCGGCTTTTTGACCCTGCCGCATCCTCGCTGCGGGTGCTCGCCAGGCGCTGGCAGCAGGAGGTGGGCAAGCGCAAAGGGGACGCTCCGCAGGAGCCATTGGGTCCCTCACTGGGTATTGGAGCCGTCTCTGCCCTGTCACGCGGCCCTGGGACCTGCTCTCTAATCCCCGTCGGTGCCGCTGCCAGCGGGCAGGCAGCTGCCTGGCGCCGGGCAGTGTCGCGCGCGGCGGCCAGCAACTGCCCCCCCGGGTCTGCGCCGCGGAGGGGACCGCACAATCCCAAAGTGGCTGGGGTCAGAAGGGACCTCTAAAGACCATCCAGTCCAGCCCCAACACTGGCATCCAGGCAGGTTTGAAGATCTCCAGAGAAGGAGCCTCCACAGCTTCTCTGGGCAGCCTGTGCCAGGGCTCTGGCACCCTCTCAGGAAAGAGGTTCTTCCTCGTGTGGAGATGGAGCTGCCTGGGTTTTAATTTATACCGATTACCCCTTGTCCTGTCACTGGCCACCACTGAGGAGAGTTTGGCCCCATCTTCTTTGCATTCTCCCTTCAGGTGCTTGCACATGTCAATCAGATCCCTGCTCAGCCTTGTCTTCTCCAGGCTGAACAGGTCCTGCTCGCTCAGTCTTTCCTCGCAAGATTGGTGCCCGAGTCCCTTAATTTTGTCACTCCACACTGGACCCTCTCTAAAAGTTCCACATCCCGCTGGTAGCGGGAGCCCAGATGGGCTGGTTGCCCCTTTGGCTCAAGCCCTCTTTTTTGAGGGCTGCTGCAGAGGGCGGCAACTTGGAGGGTGGCTCAAGAGGAGGGCGTGGCTCAGCCCGCTGCCAGCTGGCAGGGGACAGCAGAGAAGAGCCAGTGCTCATGTCCCTGCTGGTAACGGGGCTGGGAGCCAGGAGGGAAACGGAGGCATTTGGGTGGGTGGGGAATGACTTGGCTTGCAGGGACTTGCCACAGCTCCCTTGGCACCAGGGCCCAGTGAGCAGAGCTGTCCACCACCAGGGAGGGCTCCAAGGGGGGCAGGCCGGCCATGTGTCCATGGTACCATCTCACCCCACTGCTTTCCTTCTCCCCACAGGGTGCTGCCCACAGCGGTGGCCCGCCATGGGGCCAGCGCTGGTGCTGTGGGCCTGGCTGATGCTGCGTGTGGTGAGCAACGAGCGCCCCGCGCCCGAGCCCATCGCAGGCAGTCAACCCTTCGCCGTGCTGTGGAACGTGCCCACAGGCCGCTGCTGGCGCCGCTTTGGTGTGGCCCTGCCCCTCAGCAGCTATGGCATCGTGGAGAACCTGGGTGGCCAGTTCACGGGCCAGAACATCACCATCTTCTACAAGAACCAGTTTGGGTTGTACCCATACCTGTCCCAGCAGGGCACTGCCCGCAACGGGGGCATCCCCCAGCGGGTGCCCCTGCGCAGCCACCTGGGCAGGGCAGCAGACGACATTGGCCTCCGCCTGCAGCCTGACTTCCATGGCCTGGCCGTGCTCGACTGGGAGGAATGGAGGCCCCTCTGGGCCCGCAACTGGGGGGCCAAAAGGGTCTACCGGGCCGTCTCAGAGCACTGGGTGTGGGAGCGGCACCCGCAGCTGCCGGCCCCGCAGCGGCGCTGGCTAGCCCGGGAGGAGTTTGAGCGGGCAGCGCAGGCCCTCATGGAGCAGACGCTTTTGCTGGGCAAGAGTCTGCGCCCTGGCGGGCTCTGGGGTTTCTACCGCTTCCCCGACTGTTTCAACGGCAACTGGGCCAAGGAGGCCAACTACACGGGCCAGTGCCGGCCCGCGGAGGTGCTGCGCAATGACCGGCTGCACTGGCTCTGGG